TAACAAACCAAATGAATGCGTTCCATAGTTTTATTTGTATTTAAACGTTTGAGTCAGTGAGATGAACTCATCACTTCATATTTGCTACTGTAAATGTAATAAAATCTTCACATAAAATTAAAGAATGTTGTTAATTAATCATAAAATCTTAGGATATGTTGCTGCATATAACTACTATTGAATATTAACTAAAATTTCTATAATAGAGACATAGAGCATGGTAAAATACATATGTATATCTCTAAGCTAATGCTCAGTCATCTAGTCAACTTTTCCAATTTCCTTAATTAACTTTAATTAAATAGCACCCTCCTAAAATCTTAACATATACATAATTATAATTTTATGTTCAATAAAATTAAACATTTATGTATACATCATTTCGAGTTAGCAAATACCAACTTCTTAACATTTTTAAGAGATTTATTTAATAAACCCCTAACAGTCAGAACTTAATTTTAAGTTTTGCATACTTTTTTTGTTTTATTTTGGAAAATATCTAAAGTAACAAATAAATTAATATTTATTTAATAAATAAGAGCATTCATTCATAAGGTTGTGTGAATATATTTCCATTTACTTCTGTAAATTCAAGCGTATTCATTTTAATAAACGTTGTAGCGGCACAGTTCCCGCTCTTACTACAAGGAACAACGAGTTCGCCTACCTGCTACCAGGCAGCGCTCTACAAGCTCGCCCGTGCAACATACCAAAATTGTATCTTTTATTTCTTATTGTTGTATTATAAAATACTTAAATTGTAAATTGAAATATGCATATTCATTGTAAATACTTTTTATTAATAAAGTTTAATGGCGATAACATATACTGATCAAAGCTCAAAAATAACTGTTATTGTAACGGCTCTTGGTAACCGGTTTAGTCTTGGCGGAATGAATACCGCAGTCAAACATCAAGTTGTCAGATCTACGGATCTCCACCCTTCAGGGTGTAGACCTGTACGCATATGGTCAGTATATATATCATATACGCTTTTAGTTCACCTTAGTCTGCTCTTCTTATTTTACAATATTCTAAAACCTTTATCCTCGTCTCTTACTCCATGCAAGTTGGATGCTGATCCGGCCAATTCCAGTCCTATATGCTAAGTCAGGAGATTGATTCCTCCGTTAGCATTTCATTCTCCCACAAGTCCGGAGGTTGATCCCTCTGGATGTGGCTAACATCCTTGCGGAGTGTTAAGCTTAATCTCTTACACCGCAGACCGAGAGTGATTGGGTGCTGATCCACCTGTCACTCGAGGTCATCCTTCTATACATCTTCCTTCATCCATTCAGTCATCTTACCCCCCATAATTTAAACGCAGTCGAGGCCTTCTGGTAATTGCATACTGCCTTTCTGCATATATACCTCGACAACATGAATACGGCCGTATTCACTTGTACAACTGTAAATACAGCAATATTCACTTTTTAAGTAGTGAATACGGCCGTATTTATATTTATAGCTGTGAATACGTATCAACTGTATTCATGTTTCTTTTTATGAATACAAATATATTCATATTTATATTCAAAAGTGCCATAAATATAAATAGTATTCGTATTTATATTTTTGAATATAAATATGCCCATCTTTGCCTTTCTTTATAGCTCAGCCTCTCATTCAGTAACCGCCTGCTGTAGATTTTCTTTGGAATCAGCAATGAGGACAATATCATCTGCGAAAACCATCACTTGAGCAAGGATTTTCCTCATGTTCCACCTTCCCATGACTGCCCATCTTGTCCTCCGCTTGGATATTCTTAATATTTCATCCATAAATATTATGAAAAGGAGAGGATTAAGGCTGTCACCCTGTCTAACACGCCTTCTCATGGCGAAGGCCTCGGACATTCTTCCGTTATTTATTATTGTATTATTTCTCAAATATATATCTCTTTTCTGGCTCTCAGGAGTAGTGAATTTTGATGAATGAGGTATCAATAGAAAGGGAACATCACGTAGAGGGCGCCAATCTTAATTTGATTTATAATTTTATACCAAGAGTTTTGGCGTAGGGAGGTGGCGGTCCCATCGCTCGGTCATTGTACCGCAACCAGCCACTGGCCCTCCAGGTTGGGGGAACACTTACACGAACACACACACCAAGTACACTTTATACAGCACACTACAACACCTAAACACTACAGACAAAGGTCACCTACAGTACACACCCTAGGGTCACCTTCCCTAGGTAGCCGCCCCGGATGGGGGAGCTAGTCAGGATGCTCGGAGGAGGCAGCCCCTCTACCTGGCTCGGGGGCAGTGGGCTGATTGGCTACGAGACTAAAGGAAGGCCTAGGTCTAGAAGGCCTCCATGGTTTGATGCTGAGTGCCTTCAAGCAGTAAAAGTGAAAAATGAAGCTTACAGAAAGAAGGTTCAGCGTCCCACAAGGCTCTCCCAAGAAACATATCGAAGAAAAAGACGCGAAGAGAAGAGATTATTCCGCGGAAAGAGAAGAGCTTGGGAAAACAAGAACATGGAGGATATAGAGGCATTGCGCGGCCAAAATGATAGTCGGCTGTTTTTTCAGAGAATAAACGAGGGTAGGGCAGCTTTCAGGCCCAGAGTGACGGCATGCAAAGACACGAATGGATCTCTTTTAAGCCACAAAGATGACGTACTAAGGAGATGGGTACAACATTTTAAAGACGCATTAAACAGAGGAACGGTGCCTGGAGAAGTAGGAGTAATGAAGGAAGACTCCCTGAATTCTATTGAACCCCCGGATGAGGAGGAAATGGAAAATGCCCTGATGAAATTGAAAAATGGAAAGGCGCCAGGCCCGGACGGAATCCAGTCAGAGCTGTTGAAATGTGGAGGTGAAGAACTTAAGAAAGCTCTGCATGATTAATGCTGACCATCTGGGAGAGGGAAGCTATGCCTACGGAATGGGCAACAGCCATTATCTGCCCAATACATAAGAAAGGAGATCAAACAGAATGCGCTAACTATCGAGGAATCTCACTCCTTTCGTGTGCTTATAAGCTGCTCTCTAACATTCTTTTTGAGAGGATTCTCCCGTATTCTGACGCTCAACCACTGATCAACTGTTCTCTCTGAGGATGATCCTAGAAAAGACTATGGAGCATAAGGTAGTCACCCACCATTTATTCCTAGACTTTAAAGCAGCATACGACAGCGTTGATAGAACGCAACTATACTGTGCCTTGGAGGAGCTAAGCATCCCTCAGAAGCTCGTACGCCTAATCAAGATGACCATGGACAGCTCGAGATGTAGAATACGCTTCGGTTCTGACGACTCCGAAGAGTTTAAAGTGAGCAGTGGGGTTAGGCAAGGGGATGCCCTCGCCTGTCTATTGTTCAACTTGGCAGAGGAGGAAGCTGTAAGAGACTCCGGTATTCAGGCCAACGATATAATCTTCAATCGCCTGACACAGCTTCTTGGTTTTGCTGACGATATTGACATAATAGGAAGGTCTGAACGGGCTCTCAGAGAAGCGTTTATAGCCCTTGAAGCAGCTGCAAGACGACTTGGTCTAGAAGTCAATGAGAGGAAAACTAAATATATGAGAGTTGGTGGTGAGGTGGATCTGAACTCTCCATTTGAGGTAGGTTCTTTTAAGTTTGAGAGAGTGAAAAGTTTTATATACCTTGGGTCTGAAATTAATAGCAAAAATGACATGGCTCAAGAAATACAGAGAAGGATCACGGCTGCCAATAGATGTGTCTTTGGACTTGGCCGACACTTAAGAAGTAGGTACCTCTCAAAGAAGACCAAGCTGATCATATACAAGACTCTTGTTCGGCCTGTTTTGACATATGGCTCAGAGGCTTGGACGATGACCAAAAACGATGAGATGAAGCTGAGTGTGTTTGAGCGAGGAGTCCTCAGAAGGATTTATGGTCCAGTAAAGGAGGGTGATGTCTGGAGGAAAAGAAAAAATAGGGAGCTCAGTTCCCTCTATGCAGACATCGACGTAGTCACCTATATTAAACTGGCCAGACTAAGGTGGGCAGGGCATGTGGCCAGAATGAGCACCGTTGAGATACCCAAGAAAATAATGATGGAGAAGCTGCACCTCGCAAGACGGGTAGGAAGGCCGAGGACGAGGTGGTTGGACAACGTGGCCTATGATGCGAGAACCCTGCTTGGTGTACGGAACTGGAGAGCTGCAGCAGAAGACAGAGCCAACTGGCGGAGGCTCTTGGAGGAGGCCCAGTCTCGGTAACGGGATGTCGTGCCACACATGATGATGATGATGATGATACCAAGAGTTAAATAAAAGTGAATGTAAAAGTGGGAGGTTTCAAACCATATTATGGTGCCATTTCAACGAATTGAGATGTAACAAATTAATTTATAATTTGCAAATAACTCAAAAAGTACGCAATTTTTGGTACATTATACATGAGTATTTGAAAGCTTACTAAATTCCCTACAAAACGTAAAAAAAATCACATACAAATATTGGTTTTGTGTAGTATTCGCACAGATCAGCTAGTACATATTAAGTTTGCAAAAATTAATAGTTTCGGAAATCCAGGACATGACCTTCTGACCTGGTATCCTATACCTGTTTCCGCGATCAGTTCCTAAAGAGGTAGATAGTATTTCATGGAAAAACCAAATAACGTCGACTTCAAAGGAAAAATAGCGCCACGATGTGACTGTTCAAAGGCTGTTTAATAATTATATAAAAACGTTTATTCTTAAGATTATATGAATAAGACAAGTCTTTGTTACGTATGTAAATACAAGAGCATTTATTTTGTCATAAAAGCAGCACAAGAAAAAATAAAAAGTTCCCGGTTTTTTTTTTTAAATATCCGTTTTTTCCCGGTTCGAGAAATTTCCATACCCATAATTCCCGGTTTTCCCGGTCGCTGGACACCCTGAGAATTCTAGTGGTAATTTTTTTCAACTATTTAAGTTTCAATGGAAAGCTTTATCTTTTCATTCCAATAAAATATAAGATAAATAAGATTATAAACTATTAATACATACATAAAGAATATAAATTATTAATACATACTTTAATTGATTGGTGGTTTCCATTTTATTTAAGTCCAACAATTCAATATTAACTTCTTTTTTCAGAAATTCAGCAAGTTTCAAATCCTCAGGCATTTTATTACTGGGTTCTTCAAACTGTCTTGGTTTTAATTTTACTTCTTTGTGTATAACTGGATGCATATTACTGCCTGAGGGGTTCATATAACTTTGTTTAATTACCAATGATGAATGGTCTTTACTGATATTTATTTTGGGTGACTGGTTATCACTTACTTCCTCTTCATCACTATTTTCACTGGAGAAAAATCGCAAATAATCCATGATTGTAGAAAAACAGAACTTACCTTAATTTTATTTGTTAAAAATTTCTTTTAGATTAATAAAGGTAATATCTACTTACCATAGAAGGAAATTTCATATAGTTTACTTTGAAACAATTGTTAATCACTAAATCTAAATATTTTTTTAGTTATCACTTTCTATTCAACAAAAAACGTGCCTGACTTGAAAAAAGGACAAAACTTGAATTTTCTAGTTTCTGTTTGAAATCAGACAATGGTTTGCCACTTTTGTAGCTTTTAAGGTCTGCTATTTCTCATTATCAATTTTATGAAATCAATATCATGAGATACTTAATTGATTGATATCGAATACTACGATGTCAAAGAATCTTTATAATCATCTAATAATTGTAATATGAAAGATTCAAAATGTTACAGAAACAAGTTCAACTTCGAAATTTTATCAACTATTATAAAAAACAGCTATTTCATGGTTTGCATCACATTGTGCTTTAAGTGAAATTTTATTAAATATAACTTGTCTGCCTGACGATAGACTAACCCCCATTTTACAAATTATTCAACTGCTTATTTAATTGTACTACTCGTTGCTAAAATTGTATAACTGTAATTTACATGTATTTTCTAATTCAGATTGTATTATTTTTTATCAACATAAAATAACCGAAACCACAGTTCAGACAATTTTTTTATTTCTTTAAAAATCCATATTATACATCACGCCTTATTGCCAAATTATAATATTACAGGGTCATTCCATACCAAATCAACCAGGACCTGACCCATTGGGTCTTGAATTTTAATAATTTGTTGAATGCATTAATATAAAGAAAAATTCAAAATTTTAGATTTTTTTCACTTCGGTTTTGAGTTATAAATTTTTAAGATAATAAAAAACCTCAAAAAACCGTGAGTTTGTAAATAGTTTTGGGGCTATTTTTCAAGAACTGTTTGACCTATAAAACTTAAACGGTGTCATATTTTTCGGTTGTTTATGCTCTTTCTTTTGATATACAACTTGACTATATTCTAAAATTATAATATTTTCTAAAGATAACAAAACATTTATTTTAGAAATTTGAAAAAAAACCTTTTGATTTTAATTGAAACATTATATGTTATTCCAGCATATGGTGGCTAAAGGTTTGCCAAATTTCAAAGTGGAGAAATAATTGGTTCATTAGATAAAAAATGTTGATCTACAATAGGTACACTAAAAACGCCAATATTAAAATATACATATTAGTAATTTTAAATTTATGAATATATATTTTTATTCAAATGTTACTTACATGTAAGTTAATTCAAAGGAATACAAAAACTTGAATATAATATTTACAAATAAAATTGTAAATATGTATATAGGCCTAGATTTATTGTATTTTATTTAAATAGCCTTAAGGTGCATTAAATATTATTCTATATACACTTCCTGTATACTTACTCCAATATTGGCACCTACCTTATTATGATTACCTTGATGGCGTTTACAATATTTAAAGTTTTCAACTTCATCTACTGAGCCCTATAATTAGTTATTATATATTGTAATTTAATGTGAAATTACATTTTTTCTACAAATTATTTTTCCTGAAGGCTATAAACATGAACCAAAAATATAATTATAAACCGAAAAAGAAGAAGTAATGTAAGTAAAAAATTAATCCAATTATAATAAATAAATAGTAAAATAAGTAAAATAAATATAAGTAAAATAAATAAAAGATTTTTTTTTGCATGTCTAAGACCTGCGGCATCGTTCTACTATCCACAGAGACAAAATCTGACATTTTGCTTGTACAAACTGAGACTCTTCTTAAAAAACATTTACCCAAGGATTGCAAATGGGAGAACATATACACAATTCAGTTAAGAAATAAATAAATAACAATAATTTTACAAAATAAAATAAAAAATAAGCGACACTTGAACAGTAATATTTAGTATTGTTTTCAAGTTTTTGTACTTCTTTGAATAAACTTACAAGTAAGTAAAATTTAAATATAAATATATATACATAAATTTAAATTAAAAAATATGTATATTTTAATACTGGCGGACCTCGACAGCGTTTTTAGTGTACCAATTGCAGGTCTACATTTTTTTTCTAGTGAACCCATTGTTTCTAAACTTTGAAATTTGGCACGCTTTTAGCCACCATATGCTACAATAGAATAACATATAATTCTTTAATAAAAATCAAAAGGTTTTTTTTTCAAAATTAAAAAATAAATGTTTTGGTTATCTTTAAAAAATATTATAATTTTAGAATATAGTCATGTCCTTTATCAAAAGAAAGAGCATAAACAACCAAAAAGAGTGAAGACACAGTTCCTAACTTTGAAGAATTTTGCAAATTTGTTAGGTCATAACTTAGTCACAGAAATGTGTTCCGAGCCTTCTCCATCCAAAACCAACCAGCCTAAAGTTCAGCTACAAAACATTTTTAACAAGCAATAGACCGGATAAGCAGAAATTCAAGTTAGAATGCCGTATATAGACTGTAAATTGAGCCATAAAATTATAAATTTCCCTCAGTTTCTAGATGCTGATGTTAATGGTTGCTATGACCTGCTAAAGAAGTCTGATTTATGGTTTTCTTGTATGGGACCTCATCGCTTACTGAATTGCAAAAGTAAAGGCTGTTGCCGAGTTTGTGGCAAAAAGAATCACCATACGATGTTACATAGGGGTGCGAACACTGAGCCCTCTGTCTCAAGTAACAAACAAATCTTGTGCAGTTTCGTGCCATGCTACCACCAACACACAGGTACTTCTGCGTAATGAATTAGGTAGAATTGTTCAAGTTCAGGTCAGTGGTATTCATGCAGAATGGTGATAGATCCAGGTTCACAAATTAATTAGTTACCACTGATCTAATGAAAAAGTTGCACCTTCGTTCCCGGGTTAGTCCTCTTGTTATGTCTGGAGTAAGTAATACCTCCATATCTTCATCTTCTACTGAGGCTAAAGTGAAATTGGGTTCGACGAGAAATAGCAATATATATGAGTTTTCAGCCAGAGTATTGCCCAGTATTGTCCTGCATAAGAGGGAGTTTGCTGTGTTCCAAGAAGTACGGAATAAATTTGCTTCAATAGAACTTGCAGAACCTCAATTTCAGACACTAGGACGGTAAGGTTTTAAGTGACCCTGTTTTATTTTTTAAGGGTCAACCGGAAGCTATTCATACCTCATTAGGATGGGTATTATTTGGGGAAACCCTATCGGAAAGCCAAAGCCCTATAACTTCAGTACGTACTCTTTTCACACTGACCAGCCCTTCCTTACAGGAGGAATTAAAGCGATTTTGGGAGACTGAGGAAGTCACAGTTTCGATTCTGCCGAATCCTGAAGATGCATTTTAAAAAGATCACTTTATAAATACATGCACTCGAGATCTCCAGGTTAGATTCGTTGTTTTGCTGCCGTTCTGTTCTGACCAGCCGATTAGCCTTGATTCCTCTGTAGAAATAGCTCTACGCAGATTTAGAAATCTGGAAAACAGATTTAGGAGAAATCTGGAGTATAAGTCGGCCTATGCTGCACAGATGGACAAATATGTAAGACTGGATCATGTCCGCCTCGACACGAACTCTTCTCCATATGTCATGACCCATCATGGAGTCATTAAAGATTCTTCCACGACAAAACTTAGAGTCGTTTGTTTGTTTATTTAAGCTTTAAGGCGTAAAACCCTAGGGCATCAATGCCTGTGAGTTGGTTATATTTGTAAACTCTTTAGAGGAGAATTAATAATTATTAATCGATAGAGTAATAAATGAAAAAGATATTTAAAAACATATGAAAAATGAAATATATCAAAATAAATATAAAAAAGACAGAACAATAAAATAAAAATTATATTTATTTTTATATTTTATTTAATAGCCTATGTATTTTAAGAAATTTTATCACTGTTTTTATGGTTGATTCGTTGTAGCTCAATACTGCTGATATATCGGGTTTTGGAGATAATCGATTTAGGCTTGAAGTATAATAAGTGCATTCTTGGAAAATATGATTGACTGTGAGAAGGCTATTGCAGTGCTGACAATTTGGTGGTGGCTGCTTAGTGATGAGATGTACCTGGGTTAGGTTCGTGTGTCCTATTCTTAACCTGGTCACGGCAACTTCCTCTCTACGATTAGGGCGGTTTGATGTGATCCAGGGCATTACTGATTTTTTAATAACTTTTAATTTGCTAGGTGGGCTTTCGTTCCACATAGATTGCCAACTATCTTATATTTCCTTTTTGAGAGGAAAACTCATTTCTGGAGGGGTCAGGATAGGAGTACCTCGGTCTGGAATTGTGAGTGCCTGCTTGGCTGCCGTATCCGCAAGCTTATTACCAACTATACCCACGTGACTGGGAACCCATATAAAACAAACCGATTTTCCTAAATTTTCCAGAGTGTGAAGATATTTGTGTATTTTAAGGATAACTGGATGTTTTGAGTACATATCATTTAAACCCTTTAATGAACTCAAGGAGTCTGTTATCAAGACTATCGAGGATGGAGTTATTGACATAAAAAAGTGGAGGGCTGAGGCTATTGCATGAAGTTCCGCTGTGTATATGCTACTTAGTTTATACAGTTTTATTTTATGTGTGGAGTTATGGATTACAAACGAAGAAGCTGTAGTATCATTGGATTTCGAACCATCAGTGTAAATTAAAATGCACTTAGTTTTTGTGGAAGAAAATTGGAGACCAATAGAAAGAGACCAGTTGTTGATTCTATTGACAGCGTCCTGTAGTATAGAGTTAATGTTGCCAGATCAGCAGAGAATGGCTAGATGATCTGCGAATAGAAGTGGTTTGACACCTCTTGGTAAGTTAAGGCCTAAGTCATTTATCGCCAGACAGAAGTTAGGCTGAGGACTCAACCTTGAGGGACACCATTGAACTGTTCATGATTCTCGGATAATTCGCCTCCTATTTGAACTCTAAATACACGATGGGCCAGACCCCCTTACCGTGCACTCCCCCCTCCCCCCACATCCCTATAAATTGCATATTGTTGTGCTCCTTGTAACTATTTATTAAAGAAAAGCCAATGTTCCCACAAAAAAAAAAATGGCGTCCAAAGATGGCGGATTGACGACTTTGACTTTAGTTAGTTTTTTGGCCACTGAGAATCAGCATTTGGCTTAATTTCCTCATAGTTGGTCTTTTATTAAAGCTGAATAGTCATAGAATAATAAAACATGAAGAAATATTAAAAAATAATTGGCTTAGGCTATGAAAAACACCAGTAAAGTCAATTTTCTTAACAAAAAAGTTTTCAAGCTACAAATCAAGCGTCGTTTGTAATTAAACGGCCTACAATAACGCAAAACGTGCTGAAATAAAACATCTGAAAGGAGTCATTAATTAATTTCTAAAAAATTAATTTTTTAATTAGTGATATATGAGTTTTACTAAACAACCCAGTAGCTATTCATTATATATAATTCAGATTAGGTATATATTATTTTAGTTTATAAAACAAGTATTAATATGACTCATTTCCTGGGAAGTATATACAAATTTTAATTACCTCCAAGAATCAGTAAATATATAAAACACATTGTTAAATTGCAAACGTTGAATAAAAAAAAGATCAAGATATTTAGCAAAGTATTTTTTAATTAAATTTTATTATTATAATTATATCATTTTTACAGTTGAGGTCTTCTTAAACGACCTACGTATAGAATAAAGGAGGTTAAATTAAAAAAAATAATAATAATTTTTTTTTTTTTACAATTAAATTATTGCATTAATATTTGTTCGTTAATAAAACCAATATAATGTACCAAAAATTTTATTATATCACTATAACTAAGCCATTTATATGTATTGAATGGTGTGGTAGAGGCCTGTAGGCACCCACAACAGTACCGCTTTTCTGCTGCATAAGTGCATTCTCTACGGAACTGCTTAACATTAAAAAAAAATAATCAGCGTTTTAGAAAGAGAAATATATTTTCCAGATGTTTTATTTCAGCATATTTTGCGTTACTGTAGGCCATTTACTTACAAACAACGCTTGATTTGTAGCTTGAAAATTTTTTTGTTAAGAAAGTTGACTTTACTGGTGTTTTTCATAGCCTAAGCCAATTATTTTTTAGTATTTCTTCATGTTTTATTATTCTATGACTATTCAGTTTTAATAAAAGACCAACTATGAGGAAATTAAGCCAAATGCTAATTCTCAGTGGCCAAAAAACTAACTAAAGTCAAAGTCGTCAATCCGCCATCTTTGGACGCCATTTTGGGGCAGTGCGTTCACTTTTTTTTGTGGGAACATTGGCTTTTTTTTAATAAATAGTTACAAGGAACACAACAATATGAAATTTATAGGGATGTGGGGAGGGGAGGGAGTGCACGGTAAGGGGGTCTTATGATGCTTTAGCTGCTTCTATGATCGTATTCGTGATAGTTTGACAGCCTTTATCAATATTCATTTGATACAGGGGAGTTTGAGGTGGCGAGGCTAATGAAGAGAATAAAGTCCAGTCAGCTCTATATAGAACAAATCTCGGTTTGACTCCAGTGGGATTCGTTATTTTGAATTTTATGAGTATTGGAAAATGGTCACTACTATATAAATAGGGCAAAATCTTGCAGAGTGTAATGGAAAATAACGAGGAATCACAGAATGACAGATCAAGAGTTGAGTAAGTGGCATAACTTGGGCTGAGAAAGGTAGGTTTTCCGGTATTGAGTAGAAGCAGATTAGAAGCGTCTACAAAATTTTCTATTACTTTACCTCTTAATGTTTTGAGAGCCCCATAAAGGGTTGTGAGCGTTCAGATCCCCATTAAAAAGAACTGGACGAGGCATTTGGTTATAGATATCTAGGAGTTGTTGTGTATCTATAGTACGGTCTTGTGGAAGGTATATATTACAGATGGAAAATGAAAAATCTTTGTGAGCTCTGGTTACAACTTAAAGATGGGAATTAATGTCGATTGATTCGGAATATATGGATTTATGTATAGCTATTAAAACTCCGTGGTGACTGTGGTTTGGGTTTGGGCTATCTTTTCTGTATATATCGAAATTTTTTATAGAAAAATTGTCGTTTCTTGTGGGGTGTGTCTCTTGGAAGGCAATGCAAATCGAGTCTGTATCTTGTATTAGTACTTTTAAATCGTTAAAGTGAGTTTTTAAACAATTACAGTTCCATTGAAGTACTGACATGTTTAGGTATCCGTACATATATTATTACAGTAAGGCTCAAAATTGGTTTTGTACCAAATACAAGCTCCTGTCATGCTCAAATACCACGAATGGGGTACCGTTGGATTCAGAATTTCACGGGGGGTTAGCGAATCGTATTCTCCACTTTTGTTTTTCTTTCTAAAATAAATAAAGTCGATACAAACATTTTGCTAGGCTTCGATACTGGAACGGTGGTAGGTCTGTAGATCGATACGGGACAAATTGGATCTTAAAGATTTTGATGTGTACAGCAAGACCCGGATAGTTCCTTCGGAACTATCGGATTCTGCGTTTTTAAGCCAAAAAACGTACTATTTTCGAGATAACGCAAGGCATAGGGTTCGCATCCACACAACCTTACATTAATTGTAGTACTGACATTGAATACATGTCTCATTTCGTCGACTTGAGGTCTCTATGATCGAGAGAGGGGGAGTTTATATTTTTCATCGATGGTGTTTTTGATCAGCAAGCCATATCATCGTTAATTTTTCACCAAATCTCAAGATTGAGCCACCAATTTCGAAGGCTTCCTTCTTCTTCAGGCTGGCAAAATAGTCCAATCACCCAGCAAATTCAGGCAAACAAGTTATGAAAGAAAATAAACTTTATTTGCGAATAACTGAAAAATTACACACTTTTCCCTTGGTTATGCCCATAATTATATAAAAGGTTACTAAATTCCCTAAAAAAGGAAAAAAAAAAATCATCGGACAATTTTTACCAAATATACAGCTTACTGAAATTTGTATACATGTTGGTTCCAAACAAAAATGAAGATTTAAATTAATTTCTGTTTGCTTTGTGGATTATATTAATTGATAAAGTAACATTTGATGTCTTAATCTTTTGATAAGTTGCATTTTCTTATTAATTTGGCATTTGATAACAATATGCTGTGCGAATTTTTCGCACAGGCCTACTAGTTATAAATATATATATATATATATATACACACACACACACACACATATGCACATATATAGACACACACAGCAATATATACATGAATACATACACACACACATATACATACAAACACTGACACTCATACATATACATACATGTTCCCATATATACACACAAACACATGTAAAAATACATACAGGTATATACATAAACACATAGAATATAAAATATATACAAACATACATA